ACCACGTGACAAGTTTTTCGCTGAGATCCAGCAAAATACCGAGCTGCTCTAATCTAAGTGTGTAGTTACATCCAAAGTCATAAAGAAAAGGCCTGCTAATATGAAATGATCATCTCTATAATTATATTGCTATTCCTACGCTGCTAGGAGTGCGACGTCGAATTTATGGTTCCATACACCTTATCCTAAATTTAAACGAGAAGAATCTACTCAGTTCGTCTAAAATGTGTAATGTAATGTAAAATGTATAAAATATATACACACGAGTTAGCCAGTCGAGCCATAGGACTATCTCAGTCGTGAGATTGCTTTACTCAGTTGTCTGGAGAAATTTCCAAAAGCGTAGTTCACTCTGTGCTGAGTAACCTGCACTCCCGATCATAAGTTTAAATACACCCCCAAAATACATGCAAATGTGTTTTGTTCAAAGCTCTCTCCTTTTAATTTCAAATTTTTTTTTCAACTCAATTCTGAGAAAATCAATCATGATTCTTCAGGGTGAACCTTTGGTATACAAAATTTGAAAATTATGTTGAGGAATTTGTCCTTTCAAAATCTTTCAAATGTTCTAAAAAGAACGAAAATTGGACGTAAAGGGACAAAGATATGAACATAACACATTGGCATATTTTTGGGGGTGTCCTTGTGTGTGTGTGTGTGTGTACAATCTAACCCCCACTGTCCGGCAGTGTTATTATGGAAGAAAACTGCTTTTTATTACCCTTAAATTAAAGCAGGTTTAGTCCGGGAGTTAGAAGGTGTTAGCTCTATTGCAGCTCCAGTGACCCATTTCAGAATGCCTGGTAATTCACGACCACTCCGAGGTCACTTTTACTTACAATAAGCCCCGCATGTTCACTCTACCTTTATCAAATGGATAATGGTATCATAAACACACTTCCAGATTCAAAAAATATTATTTCCAAATCTGGCACGTATATAGTTTTGAAATTTGTTCAACTGTATTAAATCAATTTGAATGGACATTTCTTATCAATTTTGTTTCGAATACCTCTTGATTCATCTGCTGGCAGCACTTACTGGCACTTACCGGCAACCAACTCATCTGCCCGCAAATGCAACAACGCCTAAATCTCAAAGCTCTCCGAACGTCTCCTCGAAAATGCAATCGAGATATGTATAAGAACAATCTTCAACTGGAACGTACTCACCAGATCAATACATCCGGGAGCAAATTTCCGATGCTTATTTTTCTCTCGCAAACCCGTCGTCGTCGAACGGCAAAAAAAGGAAACTCGTTGAGCAACTTTGTGACACGGAATTTTCACTGAACATAAACCGCGAATTCACGAATTTCACCACATCCAACTGCGAAACACGTTCAGAAGCACTTCTGGCACAATTTCGATCAATTTCTTTCAAAAACACAACAAAAAAAGTTACAAGCGACCCAACATCAACACCGATTGTGCCGAGCTCTTTCACGCACCTTGCAGCGCGTAAATAAACTGAAATTAAAAATTATCACTCGCGATGCCACTAATTTCTGGTCCGGGAGAAAATCAAACAACGCAGATCGCGACATCTCTTCTGATGCTTGCAAACATGTTGAATCACGTTTTCTTTCTCTCATTGGCATATTTTTGGGGGTGTCCTTAAACTTATAATCGGGAGTGTACGGTTTTATAAATTTCTCCACACGTAAACACAGGGATTTTTTTTTTGTTCTAGACCCCTCGATAAGACGTTTTGAAATTAGCCTAAAATGAAAAGGATACTCTAAAAATTCATTTGTTGGAAGTTTCAGCGATATTGATCTTTTTAGATTATGTTTTCCATCTGAGATACGTGTTACCACTAATTTATCAGAGGTATACAAGTGGAACGACTCACCCCAATTTATGTATCCACAAATCTGCATGAAAATCTTCACCAGTAAAAGAAATCCAGAATATATTTGTCTTATCCCACTTAGGCTGATGTAAATTGTATTTTTATTTTATGATATTTAATATGCGAGAATTGCCCGCCAAGTTTGGAGAAATTTCTGAACTAGTTTTCATCAGCCAAAAGATTTTTATCTCCTTAACAGCTTTGCCAAAAACAGTAAATTTCTAGCTGTTCAGGCTCTTGAGATATTATATATGTGAATATTTCACGTATATCCTAGCGCCACGTAGTGAGAAAATTCTGTACTGTTGACCAACGAAAAAGTTTTGATCTCCTTTACAACTTTGGATGACAGTTTAGCAGGTCTCGAAATATATCTACTGCGAGAATTGCACGTCGAATTTCTGTCCACCAGCCAAAAGGCCTTGGCCCCCTGCACAACTTTGCCCAAGACAGTAACATTCTATCTGTTCAAGGTCTCGTGATATTTTATTTCTGAAAATTTCACGTGTATACTAGCGCCACTTAGGAAATTCTCAACTATTGTACACCAAGCAATATGCTTTGACCTCCTGAACAACTTTGTCGAAGACAGTAACTTTCTATCTGGTCAGGATCTCGAAACAAACCACATGCGAGAATTTAACGTGTGTACTAGCGCTACGTAGTGAGAAAATTTTGAACTACTTTTCACTAGCGAAAACGTTATGTCCTCTTGAACAACTTTGTCGACGACAGTAACTTTCTATCTGATCAGAATTTCGAGATATTTTACATGCGAGAATTTCGCGTGTATACTAACACCACGTAGTGTGATAATTCTGAACTATTGTGCACCAAACAATAGACATTGACCTCATGAACAACTTTTTCGAAGACAGTAATTTTCTACCTGTTCAGGATCTCGAGCTATAGCATACGCGAGAATTGTACACGTTTACTAGCGCCACGTGGTGAGAAAATTCTGGGCTACTGTCCACCAGCCAAAAAGTCTTGACCCCTTGAGCAAGTTTGCAAAAATAGTAACTTTCTATCTGCTCAGGAACTCGAGCTATTGTATATGCGAGAATTGCAAGTGTATAATAGCACCACGTAGTGCGAAAATTCTGAACAACTGTCCACCAACGAAAAGATCTTGACTTCCTGAACAACTTTGCCAAACACATTTACTCTCTATCTGGTCAGGATCTAGTGATGTATCACATGCGAGAACTTAACATGTATACGAGCGCTACCTAGTGGAGAGATTCTAAACTACTGTTCACCACCGAAAAGTTTATGATCTTCTGATTGCTGAAGATAGTAACTTTCTATCTAGTCAGGATCTCGAGATATTGAATATGAGAATTTCACGTGTACACTAGCGTCGCGTAGTGAGAAAATTCTGAATTACTGTCCACCAGCCAAAAAGTTTTGACCCCCCTAAACAGGTTTTCCGAAGACAGTAACTTTCTATCTGCTCAGGATCTCGAGCTATTGTATATGCGAAAATTTCACGTATATACTAGCGCCACGTAGTGAGAATTTTTCTGAACTACTCTTCACCAGCAAAAAGGTTATGATCTCTAGAACAACTTTGCCGAGGACAGTAACTTTCTATCTGGTCAGGATCTCGAGATTTTCCATGTTGTAACCAATTAAGTCAAATCCCACGTAGTACAGACACCGTTTACGCGGTTTCACATTTTCTCTATTATCCGCATTTTTTGGGGGTGACCTGCGATAAAAGTTTAGCTTGTTTAGTTAAAAACAAGTTTTTTTTTAAGGAAAACCCGTTGGTTTCATATCGATTGGTAGCTCGGCTGCAAAACGGCAATGGAAAACTCACACTGTTGTACAAAGTACAACGCGCGAGTACTCGTGTTACAAAAGTTGACGCAAGTAACGTAACCCTCCGTAACCCCACACTCTACTGTACGTTGATGGTGCAAATCCGGAGTAAATTGCGATTAGGGAGAAACTAGCCAAATGTAAACAAATGGAGATTTTACACCCAAAACACATTGTTTAATGTTACGCTATTGAAAAATCCGTGCAAAGCGAAAGGCGAAACAAAATTGAACTCTAAACAAACTTTAAAATGGATTACGCTCTTTTCTTTGTTTACGATGGTACAGTATGCAACGAACGGGCGAAACCTATGTTGTTTACCAACAAAAGCGAAAATAGCTAAAGGCTTGTCTTTAGCTGAAACGTAAACATGGCGACACTTTTAACGAAATCAAAACAAGGCGCATAGTATTGGGCGATATTTGTGTTGTCATACATGCTTGGGCGATTTAATGAGGGAATATTCTATAAACGTTCCGCATTTACGGGCAAAATTTAAAAAAAAATATGCCGAATTTTTACAGGAAAATGAACAAATAAAAATGGATCAATTTTATGATCAATAATTTAATTTCATTGGAAAAAAAATATTGCTACATCTTCATTTATTTACATTTAGCTAGTTCCACAATTTGCTCCGGAAATGTGGTTGAGTGAAAACAGACGTGATCTTTTTTATGCAACAATTGTGTTCATGTGTGCGTGTGTGTGTGTGTGCTGTGAGCCGATGTGATTTCAAAAATTTTGTCATCTCATCGATATATCGATATGCGAAAATAGTTCCCACAAGAGGTATTTGTCGTCCGATTCAATTCAATAATGGTTCAAGCATGCACGTGTGTATTGGTGTCGATTGGAGATTTGACGGCTGACTGTCTGGATCCAATTACGGTCTTTTCGGTTTTTTTTGGTTGTTTGACGTTGGAATTGAAATTTTGGAGACATTTGAGCCAAGTGAGAAGACTAGACTACTTGGGCGATAGGCGTGAAGAAACTGATATTTTAGGAAGGTAGCAACAGCAGCAGCAGCAGCAGCAGAACTAGTCTAATGTCATCTATTTGGTAAGTTCAAGTTGTGTGATGTTTTGTAAAATAAGTTGAATAAGATTGATAAAAATGGGACTCAAATGAAAGTACAATTGCTTGCTTGTTTTTGGCATAAGGGGGGGAAAAGGTCTAAGTAACTACTTCTAACTACTGGGGAAGAAATCAGATTGCGAATCGAGAAAAAATTGGTCGATCGAGAACTGAAGAGCTGTTTTTGTATGATGAGAATCGTTGAATCGTTCGTTTAGTAAGTTTAGGTAGAATCTACGTACCCTCATACCCTGCATACGGGACATGGCACGTAGCGGTCTCAGTGCTCTAAGAGTTCGCATGGTTTTGAATGCTTGAATACCACCAGCTCCACAGAGTGAAGCAACGAAGTTGATTAAGGACACCTAGATTTCGGTAAACAAACACAGTAACAAATGAGGCATACGAGAAAGAGAGAAAGAGTTTGTTTAAAGAGGTGAAATGGAGAGAAAGAGCGATAGCGACTTTTGTTTAAGGAGTTGGATCATTTTTGAGTTTTTTTTTTAGTGGACTGGGAGAGCAAAAGAGCGAAGGGATTTTCGGTTGGTTTCGATGGAGGATGAGATAGAAGAGAGAGAGAGAGAGAGAAGAAGCAAGAGCGCTAGAGGGAAAGATGTCAGTGTTGAGTTTTATTGGTTGGTTGGTTAAGACGAGATGGAAGAAAATGGGCGTGGCTCTGCAGAGATTGTGGTTTGATTGATCTGGGAAAATGAGAGATGAGATACCACCCCAAAATTGTTGCTGTCTAGTCTTATTGGATTTTTTTTTGGTTTCATTTTTTGGTATTCGCATTTTGCTATGAAAGTATATTACAACAGATAACACTGAATTAAGGAGACAAAATAAGGGAAATGAAAATTAACAATATGCGTTGAAGTTCCTCGGAGTTTGTCACTTTTGCTTTGTTGTCGTCGCATACCAGAAGGATATCATAGTAAAAGAGCTTCATGCTACGGGTTTCAAGAAGAGCTACCATCTATGAGAAGATCACTATTTAAAAAGTTGTTCGTTTGGTGTTTGGAATGATTTTCAAATAAGATCTCCTCTAGCCGTTACGAGTTGAGTCTTCGATCGCTCTATAAGTGACAGGAACTACTTGAGGTATATTTTTCATTATTTACAATGCTCACTCGGGAATAAACGTAATTGAAATAAAAGAAAAAAAAAACTAAAAAACAGAAAACCAAACAACAGAGATCAGCACACATACATCGACATATTTTGCTCCAATTCCACTCACTGTGACGATAGAAAGCCCATCCAGAAAATTTATTTTTTTTACACCAAGCTGTGGTCAAATTTCGATTTGAAAAAAGTTTAGCCTAAGGCATTGCTTCCGCTGTTTGATCTGGCATAGTTACACACAAAAACACACCACCACAAACAGAGATTAAGGATGAATGAAAGAAAAATCCGAAGAGCGCGCACAGAGGAGCCGATAAGATCACGTCGAACAGTTCAAATAGCGCTCGCACACATACGATATCGAAATATACATACACAAACGCACAACTGCTATAGTGTTGTAGCAATTAGGTTGAGTTAATAAAAAAATAGTACATGAGCAAACATAGTACAGGGGGTTCTTAAGATTGCTTAGAATGGCACCGCAAACAACGTTCTATTTTATGCGCTAATCAAAAGTACTGAGTACATAGTGAGAAAACGACGAAGAAGATATAACATGACGAAGACGACGACGACGACGACGACCACAACAACGGCGAGGAATACACGCTATTTCAAAACTACGCAAATTTGAGTACGATCCAGTCATATCGGTCAAAAGTGAAGCTACTTAAAAAACTGAGTAAACTAAGCTGGGATTGAAAGTTTGACAAATGACACTCCCAGCTTAGTTTATGCATTTTTCAGTACCTTCACTTTTGACCGATATGAGTGAATCGTACTCAAATTTGCGTAGTTTTGAAATAGCGTGTACATCGGGCTTTCACAGGTCAGTTGGGGAGTTTTGCGGCTTCTTGTACCGGCCGGCTGTTGGGACTACTTACTCTCATACCCTCCCAGCGAGAGACGGCTCGCAGCGGGCGCAGCGCTCTCAGGGTACGCATCGAGCGGAACGCCGGAATGTCCGCGGCGCCGACCATGATTGCGGTCAGGTTTATGAGCGACAGCTACGGAATGGGGGTGTGAATTGATTGATAATGGGAAAATTAAATTTAGAATCGATTCGGAAATTATAGGATAAATGGAAACTATACCGATTGATAAGTACAATTTTGCACATACAGGTGACTTATTCGCTTACTGACGTCTCATTACAATGCCGAGGATTACAGTTTTTGTATGGGGACATTTTTTCTTCGAATCTAATAAAAAAATAATATACCTAAATGTCTTGACATTTAAAATTAATTTCTAATCCCTGATAATCTACAATCCCTCGAGACTATTTAGTTGAGATATTAGGATGTGTAGAACTACCATAGAGGTAACTCTAAGACTAGAAGGTCCCGAAATAACGTGCTCAACTTTTTTGGCTCAGCTCTGGTACTCTCTTCGGTCCCAAGGTAATCGATTCACCCCTCGAAACATAGGAAAAACCAATAACCCCTCATTTTATCTGTCAAACTTTCATAGCGAATCAAAACAAACATTGCGTAGTACTATAATTTCGACTAGAATAGGGTACGTTAATCGTTTGCTTGGGACCAATAGGCTACTAAAGTGTTGAGCCAATTTAAAATCGTTAGTTTCGTATTGATTGTTGGAACTACTCCACACGTCTTGTGTTGCTATTTCTCACATACAGATAGCCATACTGATGATTTTATCTATTCAAATAAATCTACATCCACTTTTTAACCTTTGCATACCACTTTTGTAAAACAAAAAAAGGATTTTCGTCTCGTTTCATCAATTAATGATTTTGATGATTTCATAAGGTTGATGATTTCATAAGGTTGATGAAATAACTTCCAATTGCTTATTGTTTTAGAGTTTGTAGCGGTTGAGCATATTGTTTTGTATTTTGTATTTTTATTAAATATTATAACGCATGAAATTAAAACACAATCTTAACAAAATATTAAACTAGAAACAATTCCCGATCTAGGGAAGGCTGTTTCATCAAAATTGGTCAAGAAATTACGAGATGGAAGGAATTTTTTTTTTCTAGATGAAAAATCTTGGATTCAGAAGATATTAACCTACGTATCGCAAAATCCATTTAACACAGTGTTGAGAAAAATAAAAAAAAATCAAATCTCACCAATCCCCAAGATCACGCTTGATTTTCTTAGACAAAAAGCAACAAGCAAACAACTGTGGTTGATTTTGCAAGCTGTGATATCGCAGCTCGGAAAATCAAGCTAACAAAACTCGCCAGCTGCTAATATCACCAAACTGTGGTGAGATTGAATTTAATGATTTTTGCTTTACACCCGAACGCAAACGAAACTTCCATAACGGCTGGCAGCAGTCCCGTCGTGTTTGTCATCGGTGAAGAGTAAAAAGAGCTAGCAAACTATACTTTCTCTTTCTAAGAAAACGATGTGCAACGGAATCATTTTTGTGTCGAGTCAACTCTCAGCTTGATTTTTGCACGTTGCGAATAGTCTCGCAATATCAAAGGAGCTTGTAAAATCAATATCAAGCATGATATTTTGTTCTAATATCACTCGTGATATTGAGAGCGTATGAGAGCGGAAAAATATCATTTGATTTATGATTTTGCCAACACTGAATGGACGATTTGTTGAAACACTCTGACCGAAAAGATTTTTGAAATCTTGGCTGGTGGTTGAACAACTATTTATTGATTTATCGGTATAGTTTTGAACTTTTTTTTGCAGAGCCGGTATGATGCTTGAGCAATTTTAGCAAAACGCTCAATTTTCAACAATTTTCGTAGTGGACGGATTTTTAGTCAAATTTGTGGCATATGAAAGATCTTTATTATCACTACAAATGAGCAAAATTTCATGAAGTTTAGTTCAGAGTATTTCAACAAAATGTGTTTTTTGAGAAAAAATTGTTTTACTTTTAAAAGCTCTAACTTTGTATACACTCAACCAAATAAGTCCAATACTATTTTTGATTAATTTTAGATGACTCAGAAGTCTATCGTTTGAAATTGTGCTCGTAAAGCTGATTTTCTAAACTTTAAGGTCAGCTGTACGCTCAATTTCAATACACACTATAGGTGAATCTGCCAACCTTTACCACTTTTAGTGATAGTTTGGCATTTTCCAATACATAGCTGGAAAATTGTAGCAATTTTTGTATGTTTTTAATATAGGGTTAACTACCCCATTTCCGGCCTATTAAGCGCAATCCGCACTTACTCTTTCTTAATCTAGCGCAGTTTAGCTCCAAACGGAATGTTATTATTACTGATGGCTTCCAAATTTATTTACCTTTCCGTAAGATTTGATAAAGAGAAACCAATCGTTGAGATATTGTCAAAAGTCTAACACTGCTGCTTGACGCCAAACTCGGCCTACGGATTCTAAACTCGGCCTAACGCATTGAAACGCCAATGAATTCACTTCGGCCTATCGCATGAAGATAAAAATTGATTCGGTCGGAGCGCTTTTTTTTGTTTTTGGGAATAATGGGTGCATATCACGCGCATATCATACGTTCGGTAGCTTATTAACTAAAGTATCGTACCAAACGCATAATTGACTTGTTAACTCTGAAACCATGGATTTATTTGAAGTTTTCTGCTCGATAGGCCAAAAATGGGCGATCAGACCGAAGTAGTTCTCTACCCTACTGTCATGTTCAAGACAATTTTAAGGTCATTAAGATATGTTCAGGATGATTTTTCCGTTTTACGGTGAATTTGGTATATTTAGATGATGGTGTTCAAAGGCCATTTTGGCGATTTGTAATCCCTCTCCAACCGGGGAGTTTGGTAAAGAGAGATGATCATCCCGATTCATACCTTCATCAAAGTTGTCCATGCTCGCTTTCTACTTTCTATATACAATTTTCACACTGCCGTACTCTAACGGAACTATCAACCAGAGCTGCAGCCTATCACAATCATGATTTGACGAGCAGATGGTAGTAACGCTTGGTGCCAGTGCTGCAAAATCTCGACAATATACAGTGATATTGACAATTCTGCTTTGGTCACTCATTTGAGCTAACAGTCATAGTCAAGGCAAACCATGTCAATTGTCAATGACAATGCTGTCAGTGACGAACATGTGTAGATTTTTATATTAACTAAATTTGTAACGAAATTAAATGATTTGAGCAACAAAATTACATGGATCCGTTAATGTGAACAAGTATCTACGTCCTGAACTACTTAGATAACAACAATGTGACACAGAGTGTACGAAATCACACTTTTTGTTACCAGGTGAATCTTTGTCATTGACGAAACAAT